TTTAGTATTTACAGATCTATTAGCTCTATTTTTATAGAAATTTTTTTAAAAAAAATATTTGTTTACATTTTAAATCACATAATGAATTTAAATTCAAAAGAGTTTAGATCCGGGCATGATCCATGAACAGGAACTATTTTATGTGCTGGGAACATAACAGTGACCAATACTGACAGTATTCCTTATCTCAAGTAGAAGACACTGAATACCACTAACTGATGGAATAGGAACATTAGGAACATCACAGATGTGGTGAAGAACAGAATAGTTGGAAAGAGTTGGCTAAAAGAGATTTTATGGTATTTTGAGACTTTCTGAGACAATTTGTTTTACTGTGTTCTTTCCATCTAACATATGATTGAGTTTTGTTTTTTGTTTTTTTTTTTAACCAGACCTTAAAATCTTTTCCTTCTAATAATTGAGTTTATCCCAATTGTATTTGCTGTTGCCATTCTTTTTGTCTTTATTATATGGTCTGTTCCTTCCCTTATTTTTTCTATTCTCTCTTTTTGGAAAGGTTTTAGTATCTGTTCCTTATTTTTCCTTTTTTACCAGGGGAATGTGTACTCACAGATTTAGGAGCAGTGCAGTAGAATCTAAGGAACTGAAATGGAAGGGCATGAACTATGGCGTGCTCAGAAATTGACAGTGCAACCGTGGTGCAGAGAGATTTACAGCAATGTGAACTCCTCATCTTGTTAACTTTTTATGTGGATGCTTTGCTTTACCTTAAAGTCTTTCTCTTGGTTTTTTTAAACTATCTTAACAGATAATTTAAGACTTTGGTTATCAAAATGTAGTCTGTGGATCCTCTTTCATAATAATGCTGAAGCATTATTTGCCATTTTCACTGATAGTGCAAAAAGCGCAATGGTGAATAAAATCAATGTCTTACCGTGAGTCAAGGCAGTGGCACCAAACAGTACTAGTAGTAGTGTGATAGTAGTCATATGTTATTTACTGTCAAGCACTTTGGTAAAAAAGAAAATTCCAGTTATACTTTAAGAATGCCATTGCTGAAGCTGTAAAAATTATTACTTTTATTAAATCTTTACCCTGAATCTACATCTTTTTAAAACCCTGATCATGAAATGGGAATATTTAAAGAGCACTTTCCAGTACATACTGCTGAAGGAAGGGTGTCTCCAGGGGAAGCGCTTGTGGCTGTTGTTTGAATTACTGGCTGCACTAGCTGTCCAGCTGCTTTCTTTGTGAAATAACAGACATACACGATGGTTATTTATCTTGGGTTTAGTAGATATTTCCCCATAAGTGATCAAAATGAGCCTGCCACTTCAATTAAAACAATTTACAGTGTTGTTGCCAACGATAAAATTCAAAGTTTCAAGCAAAAATTGCAATTGTGGAAAACTTGTATCTACCATTATTGGTTTAACTACTTCTCAGTACTTAAAATACTTTTCTCTTCTAGATCAGTGGTGATATTCACAAACATGATTTTTTGATGTTATATAGTGATATAATGAATATAGGAGGTTAAAAAATCATGCATGGATAAAAGATTCATTCAAAATGCAAGATAGACCAAATGGATTTCAATGTTATGGAGTAAAAAAAAATTCTTGATATAGTTTCAGATTTCAAAGTACAATTTAACTTTTGATTTTTTGAGATGGGTCTTGTTATATTGCCCAGACTGGTCTTGAACTCCCAGCCTCAAGTGATCCTCTCACCTCAGGCTCCCAAGTAGCTGGAATTATAGCCGTTCACCACCACACCTGGCTAATGAAATTTAACTTTTAAGAAGCTATCACTCACTGAGTTTTGGTATAGTGTCAAAGAAAAATATCCATAATTATATGACAAGGTTATTAAATAAAATATAGTCTTCCTTTTTTAAACTATGTAGGAGTCTGGATTTTCTTCTTACACTTTAACTAAAACAACATACAGTAGTCCCCCTATCCGCAGTTTCAGTACCCACGGTCAGTGTGGTCTGAAAACAGGTGACTACAGTACAAGAAGATATTTTGAGAGAGAGACACCATATTTGCATAACTTTTATTACAGCATATTGTAATGTTCCATTTTATTATTAGTTATTATTGTTAATCTCTTGCTGTGCCTAATTCATAAATTAAACTTCACCGTGGGTATGTATGTATAGGAAAAAACATAGTATATTATACCTAGGTTTCAGTGCTGTCTGTGTTTCTGGAATCCACTGGGGGTCTTGGAATGTATCCCCTGTGGATAAGGGGTGGGGGCTACTGTATTGTAACAGATTCAAACGCACAGCAGACGTGAGAGTCCAGCTGTCTTCTCTAAGGTAAAGTGATGCCACTTCTTTCATTGATTTTTATTGTTTGCAAAAATAGAGTTCAAATTCTGGATCTGCTGTGTCCTAGTAGCAAATTATTTAACATCCTTGGGGAAATTCTTATCTCTCTGAAACTTAATTTCCTCAATTGTAAAATGGGGATAATAAAGCTGTTTTGTTTGTTGAAGGTTAAGTAGTTGTTTGGTCTTTTCAGTTTTTTCATTGGGTGTTGTGATGACTGACAGGCATGACTACCTCAAGTCCTTAAAAAAAAGGCTAAAATTATTTGAAGATGTTATTTTCTGCCCATATGGATAAAGTATTCTTTAAATGTCTAAAACTTTTTCCCTTGAACCTTTATACACACTTTCAAGTGTATGTGTAAACTTAAAATTTTACAATTAAAAAGCAGTAAAGCTAATTCAGAACATTTACTTAGGCATGAGACAGATGGTGATCCTATAAAAAGATGGCATATATTTTTGAATGTGCAAACAGAAAAACAGATACTCTTAAAAATTTCAGAGTAATCTTTGCCTAGAAAATGAAGGGGAGAGATAAAAGACCATATGGCCTAATAGAACTTTTTACAGTTTCTAATGTCTATGATTGAATTTTATTTCTTTAGTGTTAGTATTGATGAATAGTCTGTAAATATGGATTGGTAGTTGAAAAAGGAATAATTTTCAAGTAGGTAATTGCCAAATACTTTTACTGTGGTTGCCAGTCTCTTGTTTTCTGGGGTATGGATGTGAGAGTGGGAAGCAGAAACATTAGAACCCCAGATTTAGTGGGGTTAATTTAAATGTGAATACTTAAAACCTCGGAATCAGTGACCGACTCTGCTGTCAGGGCAGTTACACACATTATGCTTGAGTAGAAAATGTGGTATTAGTGAGTTCATCTAATATACAACTCAGTTTAATATTTAAAAGCAACTTGTGTTGCAAATATTTTAAGTATTTTATTTTTTACAACTTGTTCAAAAACAGTACATGACAGTAGACTTTTAAAAATTGTTTCTTTTATGGACGTGATATTGCTGATCCTCTGCTAGGTTGTCCGAGTGGTTTTTAGTAAGAATGATCTCACGCAGATTCCGTCTACCCACCAACCAAATCCTATCTATAACTAAACATAGGCATCTGTCGAATTTCTCTCTTCTTATATTATAATTTATCCATTCATATTTCTCTCCTACTGGATTAGGAAACCATAAGTAATTTATTAATCTGCATATCATCATACAGGGTTGGTCACATAGCAGGGACTTAGTAAATGTAGAGTGAATTAATAAACATGATCAGAGTTGGAGCTGCAGTCTTTCTTTAGAGAATTGAAATCCTATCATTCTGATGCTGGGACAACGTACCAAAAATGTTTAGAAAATTTATTTCTGGATACAGAAGTAAAAATTTGCCATGGGAAATTACAAAAAAGAGAGTAAGAAATAATAATTCAGGAAATATGCTTCATAATCTTTCATCCTGCAAGCATTTGTCTTCTCCGTGCTGTGTGCTCAGTATGGGAATGTGAAAGTGAATGAGCCCTATTCCCAAAGAACTCACCTACATATTTCTAGACAGCTCATCACAGATTATGGTATTCTTTTATTTATTTTTACAGATGTTTAAGTATTTTAAAATATTTATAAGCTGTTAAGGAATTGACTAGAGTTGCTGCTCTCCCATTTCTGTGGAGTGCCGCCTTTATCGAGGGTTTTGCTGGGACACAGACGGTGAGGGCAGAGCGGGGAGCAGACAGAATGGGTACTGAAGGTGTGCGTGGGTCTGTGTGAAGTGCAGGCGGGGAGGACGTGACACCGGCCCATAGATTAAGGATTCTACGTAAAAAGCAAGGTGCAAGAAGAAAGGAAGGTAGACTGGGGCTTGTTCTTTAAGCATTATCAAATATTTGCCAAATGCTCATTGTGTAGTAGGCAATGATCTACTCTGCTGGGTGATACAGAAAGAAATCCTTGTCCTAACAGAGCTGACACTCTTAAGAAAAGTCTCAGGCGTTCTTGTTCAGAAGCTAAAGGATTAAAATTGAGTAAAATAAAACTTTTCTGGAAATATTTTTTAATATGACTTTTTTTTTCTTTTTAGAAAATGGCTCCAAAGGTTAAATGAAGCTGGAAAAATATGTAGATGCAGCATCGCAGCCTCTCCAGATGTTTGGGGATAGTATTCCAGAGAGAGGTTGATCCCCTTGGATTAGGTAACTAGTCATAATGAAGAAAATTAGTCTTAAAACCTTCCGGAAATCTTTTAACTTGAATAAAAGTAAAGAAGAAACTGATTTCATGGTAGTACAACAACCATCACTAGCCAGTGACTTTGGAAAAGATGATTCCTTATTTGGTAGCTGCTACGGTAAAGACATGGCCAGCTGTGATATCAACAGTGAAGATGAAAAAGGTGGCAAAACCAGATCCAAAAGCGAAAGCCTGATGGGTACGTTAAAAAGGAGGCTTTCTGCGAAACAGAAGCCGAAAGGTAAGGCCGGCACGCCCTCGGGGAACTCTGCCGATGAGGATACCTTCTCCTCCTCCTCAGCACCGATAGTCTTTAAAGATGTGAGAGCTCAGAGGCCGATACGGTCCACTTCCCTCCGCAGTCATCACTATAGTCCCACACCTTGGCCTCTTCGACCTACAAACTCTGAGGAGACGTGCATCAAAATGGAGGTGAGAGTCAAAGCCTTGGTTCACTCTTCTAGTCCGAGTCCTGCACTGAATGGCGTTCGGAAAGATTTTCATGACCTTCAGTCTGAGACTGCGTGCCAGGAGCAGGCTAATTCACTGAAGAGTTCAGCTTCTCAGAACGGAGACTTGCATCTCCACCTGGATGAACATGTGCCTGTAGTTATTGGTCTTATGCCTCAGGACTACATTCAGTATACCGTGCCTTTAGATGAGGGGATGTATCCTCTGGAAGGATCGCGTAGCTATTGTCTGGACAGTTCTTCTCCCATGGAAGTCTCTGCAGTTCCTCCTCAGGTGGGAGGGCGCTCTTTCCCTGAAGATGAGAATCAGGTAGACCAGGACCTGGTCGTGGCCCCAGAGATCTTTGTGGAACAGCCCGTGAATGGCTTGTTGATTGCCACCACGGGAGTCATGTTGCAGAGCCCCAGAGCAGGTCACGATGATGTTCCTCCACTCTCCCCATTGCTACCTCCAATGCAGAATAATCAAATCCAAAGGAACTTTGGTGGACTCACTGGCACAGATGTCCACGTGGCTGAAAGTATGCGCTGTCATTTGAATTTTGATCCTAACTCTGCTCCTGGGGTTGCAAGAGTTTATGACTCAGTGCAAAGTAGTGGTCCCATGGTTGTGACAAGCCTTACAGAGGAGCTGAAAAAACTTGCAAAACAAGGATGGTACTGGGGACCAATCACACGCTGGGAGGCTGAGGGGAAGCTAGCAAATGTGCCAGATGGTTCTTTTCTTGTTCGGGACAGTTCTGACGACCGTTATCTTTTAAGCTTGAGCTTTCGCTCCCATGGTAAAACACTTCACACTAGAATCGAGCACTCAAACGGTAGGTTTAGCTTTTATGAACAACCAGATGTGGAAGGACATACATCCATAGTCGACCTAATTGAACATTCAATCAGGGACTCTGAAAATGGAGCTTTTTGTTATTCAAGGTCTCGGCTGCCTGGATCTGCAACTTACCCTGTCAGACTGACCAACCCAGTGTCCCGGTTCATGCAGGTGCGTTCTTTGCAGTACCTGTGTCGTTTTGTTATACGTCAGTATACCAGAATAGACTTAATTCAGAAACTGCCTTTGCCAAACAAAATGAAGGATTATTTACAGGAGAAGCACTACTGAAAGATTGGGAACCCTGCATCTTGCACTTTGGGAATAAGAAAAAGAGATTGAAATACAGTTTACAAACTTTCATTGCCATCGAAATCTTTTGCTGCCATAACTATTTCAGTTTTATGTGTAAAAGAATCATTAATTTGTTTAGGGGTGGGGAAGTGTCTGCAAGGTGTCTTGGGTTTATTTTGGTTCTTTCAAAAGGGAAGTCTTGAGGTTTTAGAAGTGTGAATTATCTTTCATCAATGTGCAGAATCACAATGTGAATTATCAAATTCTCCTTAACCCTCCCCCCAGTCCTTTGCTGCTATCCACTGTGATTTTTATGCATTAAAAGCACATTTCATGTGTATTAAACCCTAAGTAAAGTTGAATGAAACTTAAGAGTGAAAATTGCTATGTCTTTTTAAATGGCCCATTTCAAAAGATAGTGTTGAATAAACATACCTATGTGATAAAACAGAATTTACATATACACTGAAAATGATTTTTTAAAATTCTTTAAAAAGATTTAGAATTACGAATTGACATAATCTTGGATAATAAAATGCAGATCTGCAACATATCTTTTTTTCTAAATTATTTCTAAGGTTGTGCTCATTTTTTTGGTTGTGAAAAGTTGAATTTTTCTGTTGCCTTCATTTTCATCTTTCGGTTTGTCTATTTTAATAAATGGCCTTACATTTTAAAATTGTAAAGAATTGTATACCACCAATTTAGAAATTGTTGCCTTTTCTGTCATTAAACTCGGGTACAAATTGGCATAACATATAAAGACCTATGGAACTAGAACTTATTAAAGAAATATTAGATGATCATAGTTTCCTGTGATAGCATTTTTTTGTCTTCTTTATACTTTCCTTTGGTAAAATGTTTTATGTGTGATTTCTTTAGCTTAGTCAACATTTCCTTGGGTGAACTTGATTGTACAACTAATTTTCATAAATGGACTGGATTCTCTTTCAACATTGGAGTCTATATAAAGTTTTAAATTGATTTGACTAGAAAGGAATCATTGTTTTAAAGTTAGATTTATATTTTTCTTTTACGTAGTCACTATTAAATGTACTGGATTTGACCACTCCTTCCCCTCACTTTTAAACAACCCTCAATGACTTTAATTAAAACACTGTGGAAATTGTGGAGCAGTTTTTCTCACAGCGTGAAAAAAATATTAAAACTGTTATCAGATATATGGGAGTCTTATTGCCTATCATATATACTGCCATTTACAAGTATATTTTTTTATTTGTTTCTTTTTTAATTTAGCTAAGTCTTAAGCAATTTGGCATCACTATTTTATCTCTGAGTTAGTTGTGGGGGGAGGATGTTATGCCCAATAATTTTTAGTTATTTTGAAATGTGTAGTGTTTATTCAATTCACAATTCTGCAACTTATGTAGTATTTGGGGATTGCCCTGTCCAGATGTTTCCAGCTACACAACTTTAAAGAAAATGTTTCCATCTCAGATGAAACATGTAATCTGAGATGTTTCTTCCTTTGTCATTTAAAGTTTTCCGGTCTCTTACCCACTTTAAACACCAGGAGTAAAAGGTCCTAGGTCAAACTTACTCCTTCATCATTCAGACATACCTGTATCTCACGTTTTTCTCTATTTGTTTTTTAGGGTCAGAACTGAGATATTACGAAGAAAAGGCACAGTGCCATGCTATTTTAACTTAAAGGGGGAAAGGTACTTAATTTTGGTGGAATGTTGATTGTACCTTGTTACAAAGACTCCTTTTTCATTTTCTGAGCAGTTTTCACCGAATAAGATGGAATATGGAGTATACTGTAATAATATAATTTAAGTATTCACTATAAGCTATTTGGATTAAGAACTATTACAGAGTTGTAAGCTTGTTATCAAATTAATGCAAGACATTTAAACTATTTTTTTGCAAAACTATTTATTTTTAAACAACTTAAAATATATCTAGGGTGAGTTAAAAGTCCCTGTGCATCTATATTAGATGGCAGGTATTGTCGCAGAGTCACTGTGTATTAATTATAAATGTTGAAATGGAGCATTTACGTGTCCTCTTCGTGAGATCATGGTGCACAGAGGTCTTTGGACTGCCCTGACCTGTCTTATGTGGACATAACCTGTTCCCCGCATTTTCTCTTGATGCATGTGTTTAAGATCTACCCATTTAGTGTCAAGATTATTCTGATTTTCATCTAAATGTTTTAAAGTTGTATTTTGTGTTTTAATGGAGGGCAAGTCTTGATACTGTTCTAATTCAAAAAGCCAATTTTTGATGTGCTTTTATATATTCATTATATATAATCCTTTAAAGTAATATGCCCTATTCTTATCCAGTTTGAAATTGTTAGATTCTGATAGTGTAACAATAAAAATTAAAATATTTGCCAAAAAACTGAATTTATAAGCAGAAAAGTATATTGCCAAAAAATTAAACTTACCAGCAGAAAGATGTATTGCAAAATTTTCTTCTTTTGTGTAGAAAGGTATCCATTTGGCATAGGTAGCACAACATAATGTGAAAGATCGGCTTTACAGGAAACTAAAACAGTCCCGTTAAAAGTGGAAAGGGGGATAAAAGAGAACTCTTCATCCTCTAGTTTGGTTAAATTTTTGGATCCTATTGAAAGGTAACTTACAGATTTTAGGGACACAACTTGTAAGTGATTTTAAATATATGCTTCTAAAAATCGGAGCTCAAGGCAAGAAAAAGAAAACAGGAAAGCTGCATCCATTTGCCATAATTGAATCAGAATTGTTTTTTTAATCAAGTATTTCATCACAAAACATGATGGAGGCCAGAAACTATTTTTAGGCTTAGTAGGACACTATTATGCAGTTTTATAAACAATGAGAAAGCTATAGAAAGTACTTGAAATATCTCACTCTTTCTGTTTCTGAGGAAAACTATTCTCTTTCTACTTGGTGCAATAATCTGAAAATTTAGAAGGTCAAAATATTATGTCACAGGAAATGATCATAGAACTAAAAATAGGTTTTAAGGAAACCAGCTACACAGGGCAACCATCTTGCCGTTGAAGAAAATCACGTGCCAAAAGACTATAAATTATTGGCATATAGAAAATAAAACCTAAAGTATACATTATAATTTCTGAGCCAGTATTATTTAAACAGGATAAAAATTACTAAAATCTTACATAGGTTTATGCAGTGTCTCTGCCAGTGCTAAATATCTTTGTAAACAGTGCTTTCGGAAATGCCAATTTTAATTTCTGTACATTTCACATTGTATATGAGAGCAATTGCTTCATGAATGATTCAAAATAATATATTTCATTTAAATTTTAATTGCTTTTCATCAATGTGAAGTCTTAATTTGAAAACAAAATCACACTACCAGCAATAGACAGTTTTGTTGAATACGCTAATAAGGAACAATAGCCAGTTCCATAAATAACTTTAAAATTCTAAAAGTATTGGTACGCTAGTAATCACAAATTGGGTTTGTTTTAATACTTTTTTAATCCTGTAAAGAAGGTTTTTTATAAACATCCTTTTTATTAATCAACCATAACATGGCAGAATGCGTAGTTGCTATTTCTGAAAAGTGATCCAAACTCTACATCCAGAGATGATGAAAAATTCTTACAGAATTTTGTAATAAGTATACATGTTGGGTTAAAGAAATTTCATAGTTGTTGGAGTGCCATGAAATTAATACTTGCAATTCAGATTGCTGTAGTTTACACTTTTTCTGTATGTTTCAAATCAGGTGTGTATCATTTGTACTGAGAACACCACAGAATGAATTATCCAAAGTCCATTGATTTTAATATGTGTTTTGGTTTGTAAACAAATTATAGTAATTTCTTGCACATTTTTGGAAATTGTAGAAGAATTTATGTATCTGCTTCTAGATACAGTGTGTAAATAAAAATTTCATTCACAAGGTCTGCCTCGTAGTCTATTTAATACCCTGGTGCAGTGTTTGATTTTAATTAGTGTGGGGTTAACTAGATAATTTCTGGAGGATGCCCTCAACTGGGCAGAGGCTGGAGGGTGGGAGCCAGTAAATTTTAGTAAAAAGGGAAAAGTAGAATCATGTCACTAATGGAAGATTAGTCAAGCAAATTAGGAGTCAGCCAGTGGTGCTAATATATTAAAGGATGTGGGTGACCATGAGCGTGAGAGTAGACAGACACCTCTCTAAGAAGATTAAAGACCTGCTGTTTTGATGACAGATAATTCGCCGAAAACTGAACTCAGAAACTTCCTAAGTTACCATTGTGCTTACCATAGCCAGTTTCCTTTACTTCCTACCTTTTACCCTCACCTTTAAATTCCTAATTTTTGTTGTGTTTTTTTTTTTTTTGCTTCACATGTTTTACTTCTGCTTTTCCTAGGCTTTCAAATTTATGGATCAAAAATAGATTAACCTTTATTTCAGTTGAATTTAGCTTTTTCTTGTCTGCTGTTTTGGCCTTCAGTCTATAATTTCTTTTTTTCTTTCAAATCTTTAGCTTCATTTAAAATTCATTATTTTTTTTTAAACTTTCATTTAATTCTTTTAACTTTTTTATAGTTCAAGTTCCAGTTTTAAGGGTTACTATTGAACTGTCTTTTTAACAAAATTTGATTTTGTTTTTCCTTCTCTTTTTTGATGAATTGTCTTGCTAATGGGTTTAGAACTGTTCTGACATTTGCTGCTTGGGCTAACTCTCCTCCCCCGAACCCCGGAATTTTCCACAGACTTTCACCTGTGCAGCTTCACAGTTCCATGTGGTCTTTGTCTCCCTGGTCATGTGTTCCTTTATGGAGATAGCAGATTTGATGGAGTGAAGGTATTGGTTTATGACGTTGCATAATTCAGTCCTAGTGTAGAAAGATCAGTTATGAACCCCAAGATACAACAATTGGATTTGAGGGCATAAAATGCCTTTTGCATGTTAAGATTTGATTATTAGAAGTCAAATCCATAGACCGGTGAGTGCTCCAGGCCTGACACTGGCAAAGAACCAACAGCCGTGAACACTGAATGAGCAGCTATCTTGGAGCACAACCATGTTACTACTTTTGCACCAGGCTGCATTTTTCCCTGCGTAGTACCAGGCAGTCTCACCATCACTTCTGCAAGGGTCATGGGAGGGTCCTCCTGGGAAAGGCTCCCTCAGATTGTAAAAGCCAAGGAGAGGCTGGCTAGAGCAGGGATTATTTTAATGGGTTTATGAGCAGGGCCAGTTGCCTTACTGGGAGATAATTTGGGGCTGTCAAGTCCTGTCCTTGGCTTGTTTTTGGCTTGCAAATAGGATAAATCTTAAACTGAAAAGGAAGGCTCACTTTTTGGTCATGAGCTATGGATTTCCCACACTAAGAAAGCCTGAGGAAGCACAGATCCGCATATGAGGTGGTTTTGCTGATCTCTAACTTTGTCCCAAGGGTCTAACAGGGTGGCATCCGGGGACATTGGAACTTAATTGTACCAGCCTGCTATTAACTTTGTACAACAGTGACTTGAGTAATCATGACTGAGCCACTCATACAGACTCAATAAAAATTATTGCATTTGTCTGTCTTTATTCAATCTCTCCCATCCCCCTCACCAAACACTAAATACTCGTTCTTCAAGGTTAATTCAAGCCTTATCTCACGATGCCTTCTCTCCTCCCAAACCGAGTTGTAACCTCTCATTGTTATAAGCCTGAGAAAGAAGAAAGAAAAAGAGAATGAAGATAAGCCTGTTTTGCAGTTTTTGCTGGAAATGGAGAGAAATGTGTTGAAGGATCCTTACACGGATATATGTCCTTACAAGGACATTTTAATTGTAAAGATGACAGAATGGCACATGACACTGTTTAGTTTCTTTATCA